GTGTGTGCATGTCCAAGTTCATGCCCATGTCTGAGGTGGGCTCAGCAGTGTTGTAGCTGTGGAAAGATGCAGCACTTGGCTGGGTACTGATGCTGGCTGTGTCACGGGGTGACGCCGGTGGGCCTGTCCCCACAGAGATGTCACTGCTGTGATGGGTACTTGTTGTGGCACCTGCCCTTGTGTTCTCAACCAGGGTTGAGCCCAGAGCTGCTTGTGTGGTGCTGCCATCTCCTGCCAACTGGAACGTGCCCTGGCCTCCCTCTGCAGCTGCATTTTTGGGGGTTGGCAGTGCCACAGGTTGGGGTGACTTGATGGTGGCTGTGCTGACAAGGGGTCTGGCCTTGGTCAGTGCTGGGCTGGGGTTAGTCACAGCCAGTGGGGCTGAGTGACTGCTCTTTGGAGTTGTAAGAGTCAGATCCACTGGGGGCCTTGTTTCAGAAGCATCATTCCCTTGGGCAGGTGGCTCTGGCGATGGCCTGGCAGTGATGGTCGCGTGTCTGGCAGTCGGCCCTGCTGCACTGGCATCTGGGTTCTCCGTGCCCACCTCCAGGAACCCCATCCCCATTGCTTGTCCTGTGGTGCTGCCATCGAGGTGGGGGTCACCTGAAGTTCCCATTGCTGGTGGTGTGGTATCCAGGGACAACAGGGATGTGACTGCTGCCATCTCTTGGGGGATGCCAGATGGGGGCACCCCCAGAGCCATTCCTACATTGACACTGCCTTCCATTAGACGGGGGACATCTGCTTGCGGTGCCATGGGGATGGTGACTTCTTTGAGTACCCCTGGGATACCTGGTACAGCTGTGCCTGTGCCTGGTGCAGTGCTTGGTGACCATGTCTCTGTCCCTGGAGGTTCCTCACGTTGTATCCCAGCCCAGAGTGGTGGGGCTGGTGCAGGTCCAGGTGTGACAACAGTTCCTGGGGCTTCTGAGCCTCCTGTGGGACCAGGCTGGCTGTGGCTGGGGGATGCATCAGGCACAGGCAGGGTGGCTCTGGTGTCCCCCAGCTTAGTGGCACTGCCACTGGCCAATGATGCTGTTCCCATCCCTGCTTCATGAATTGGAGTGTTGCTAACAAGGGAGGATGGATGGGCAGCTGGCACTGTCCCAATGCCATACGCAGCAGTGGAAGATGGTGGTGCAGCTCGAGGGGCCCTCTGTGGTTTTTCTCCACTGGCATCCGTGAAGGACAAGGGCATGGCCATGCTGGGGCTGGCTGGAGGGGTTCTGGCTGCTGAGGGGGTCTGGGGGAACAGAGAGCCTGTGGAGTGCAGAAGGGGCCTTGGAGAGGAATCACCAGGGTCATCGAGAGCTGCATTGGGGGACAGGCTCATTCTGAGCCCCCCTGGGGTGGCCTTGGTCTCTGGGAACACAGTGCCTGCTGTGGCTTTGGTGCTGTCCTCATTCCTAATGGACACCAGCTCAGCACTGGTACTTCTGAGAGCTGGGAATGATACAGTGGGGATATGCTCTTCAGCTATGACTTTCACTACCATAGACAGTGTGCCTGGAACTCGTGCAGTGGTCTGGAGGTGGGTGAGAGCATTGGCTCCAGGCAGCCCATCTCCAGCAGTTTCTGGAGCAGTGCTGTGGCTGGGGGGAAGCATCTCTCCTATGCCTGGCACAGCATCACCAGGGGGCTGGGGCAAAAGGGCTGGAGGCAGCTGAGCAGGAGGCACACTGGGGTCCTGTGAGGCACTGTGGGCAGTGTCAGACAAGGCACGTGTCCCTGGCTCTGCAGCCTCGCCAATGCCAATGGCAGCAGAAGAAAAGGTGACCTTTGCCAAGGATGCTCTTGGGGGGTCTGCAGACGGTGGGGATGCCATCCTGGCTCCTTCTGTGGCTTTACTGGGGGGCACCCAGGGGAGGCCAGTGGCAGGGTTGGCTGAGGCTGGTGCTGTCTTCATGGGGCTGCCCCTGTCCTGAGAGATGCTGGCTGCTGTGTCTGAAGGTGAGGTGGCCTTGTCCAGCCCCAGCATCGCCTCCTGGGACGGGAGCGAGGCAGTGCTGTGTGGCTCAGCAGAACTCTTGCTGATACTGGGATGTGATGTCCCTGTGCTGTGCTCATCCTGGGGGAGCAATGGCACTGTAGTCTGTGCAGTCCCTGGCATCCTCTCGGCAGGGACAGCACCCACGGCAAGACCCACCGTGTGCTCCATCGGCACGAAGGACAGAGGCTGCTTGTGCCAAGTGGTGGTGGGATGGGGAGGGGCGCTGCTTGGGTGACTGGCAGCACCCGGAGAAGAGACCCCAGCCCCCGACCCTGCCTGGAGGCTGTCTCGCACTGCTGGACCCCCGGGGAGAGCTGCTGGGCTGGGAGGCCCTTCCTGCTCACCACTGCTCCCAGCTGGGACCAGCCCTCTTGTTGTCACCTGCGGCACCAGGATGCCTGTGGAGCGAGACAAGGCAGCCCCAGCTGGATCAATCCCACCGCGGCCCCAGCAGGCAGGAACTTGCCCGCGGCCAGCTGCCTGCCGGCCTTACCTGAGCCCTGGCTGCCTGCGGAGGCGACGGTCCGGCCGGCGGGAGAGGGGTGCTCCGTCCGTGCGGCCACGGTGGTGGGGAATGCCTGGCACATGCCCAGGTCCGAAGGCAGCTCAGCGCTGGTACTGTCGGCTGCACGGGATATGCTGCCTGACTCTGTCGGGACCAGCGTGGGGACAAGGGGCTGCTCCTTCATCTCCCCGGCTTGTGCAAAGGTGGGTGAGATCGGGATGAGGAAAAAGCAGCCAGGGGTCCCCATCACCTTCATCCCTCCTCCCTGCTGCGGGGGGAGCACCCATAGCCCAACCAACACCAAGAGCAGTCAGACACCTTCCCCAAGGGCGAGAGTCCCCCTTTGATCCTCAATTGCCCCCCCACCTTCCCCTGCTGCAGTTGGGAACCACGCCGAGGCTGTGGCACCCGCAGACAGAGACTGGGCAAACCCCAGCCAGGCACTCAGGCTCGAACTTGGGGTATTTGGAACAAGCTGGAGGGCTGTTCGCAGCCCATCACCCAGATGGTATCAGCCACCCATTCAGCTCACTGGCACTTTCAGCGACCCTGGGACTTACCTGGCAGCACCCAGAGCCCCCACAGCACCCAGCTCCAGAGCAGCCACGGACCCCAGGACCCCATGGTGCTTCCTCGGTGTCAGGGACAGGGCTGCAGCTCTCCCTGTTTCAAGGGAGGGACGCAACAGGTGACTCGACCGGTGAGCACTCCCCCGGGTGGGGGGGACGGGGACACCACGTGCCCTGCCTGTGGCACTGACGTCTGTGTGTCCTCGCAGCCTGTGATGAGGTGGCAGCGTCCCATTTCTGGGGACCCACTGATGCTGGGGGACACCCATTTTGCCATGGGATGTTTTAAGGCCCTTCCCAGGCTGACCCCACTGTTGACAGCCCACTGCTGGGGTCCCCAATTCCTGGGGAACAGCCAGTGGGTTTCAAAGTCACTTGGCCCAAAGGCCCTGGGATGGCAAGTGGGGACAGGGGTCCCCAACACCTCTGTGGGGTGGGTCAGTCCTGGGCTCTGTACCCCCATCCACCCTCCTGTTTGCTGCCAGGTCCCTCCACGCTCAGCTGCGTGGCTGATAACCCCTGGCAGGGGTTGGCTCACCACCAAGGAGGAAGAAGGAAAGAGCAGGCTCCTACTGGCGCCTTGGGGTCCTGCGTATTGACCCTGCCCTGTCCCCCCCTCGGCACTGCCGCCTGGGACCTGCGGGCAGGCCTTATCTGTGCCATCGCGGAAAGGCCCACGCAGCCCGGATGGGGGGGTCCCACATGGGTGGCGGGGCCAGGCATTGCCCTGGGTTGCAGGTCACCTTCCACTGGGGACAGAAGCCAGACGGACCCAGTTGTGCAAATGGACTCAGTGAGGCCACTGCAGCAAATGTGTTTGCCCCTTCACAGGATCGATCTCACCCAGTTCCAGGATCACTTAAGGGGGCAGAAACACGTCAGTGACCGTGTTGTGCCTTCCTCGCTTCACTGGCAGCCATTCCAGCCGGCTGCCACACCATGGTGGCTGCACCTCATGGGGAAACAGAAGCTCAGAGTCCAAAGCACTGACGCATGACCAGCAGCACCAGCACACCTGCCTGTGCCCAGCACACCTGCCTGTCCCTGCACTCAGGGAGGGCCAAGGGATCAGAGATGAGGGAGCCGTGGGTGCACAGGACACGCAGGGGATGTGGCCAGGTAGCATCTGCCACAGGGAGGGATCCACAGCCATGCCAAAGCAGCCCTTCCTCACCGTATATGGCAGGGTCTCTCTAGAGAGAAGGCACTCTGGGGAGCAGGTATCACCACTGCCCATGGACCTGGTGGGTTTGGGCACCAAGATCCTCCTCCACCTGATCCCCAGATCCCTTCCCGATGCTGCTGCAAGGGGAAACCCGGTAAAGGGGCTCTGATACCCATTTGGAGGCAGGGCAAGAACTGGCACCTGAAGTGAGACCCCATGGGAGCCACCTCCCCTCCCCCACCAGCTCCTGGCTCTGGCTGCAGTGGTGGCACCTGGTTGCACAACACCCCTCGCGTGGGTGGGGGCGCGACGCCGGTCCCGCCACTCCCTGCCCGGGCATGAGTCAGGCGGCAGCCGGGAGCCGCGGGGCACCAGGCAAGGGGGGCCCTGCTGCAGGGGGCTGCCCTGTATTGGGGCAGCGCTTCAGGGAAGCACTGCCCACTCAGAGTGAGCAAAACAGCGCCCAGGCTTCAGGTGTTGGGCCTGGGGGTGGGACAAACTGACTAACTCCAGCAGCCCCGGATGGGGAGAACCTTGCACCCTAAAACAGCCTGGGAGGCATTGGTGCTGGGTTTTATAGGTGCACGTCACACAGCTCCCTGGGGATCCCCAGTGTCAGTGCATCCCCTCCTGAGCTCCATCACATGGCAGATCCCAAGGATCACAGTCCCAGCTGCCTGCAGGGAGGAACCAGAATCCATGGAGACATGGCCTGTCCCTGTGTATGGGCAGGGATGAACCTGGGAGACGGTTACAGGCACCCTCCTCCTCTCCATAGAATACTTTTATATATATACATAATATATATTAAAATTACATTTCTCTTTACAAAAACAATTCAACAAGAGGCCAGGGGACAGAGCCCATTTGCCCAAACCAGGGCATAAGCACCCCAGCAAGTCTGGGGCAGGGTCCCTTTTGGGGTGTCCCCACCCCCAAAGTGGGGGCTCAGTCCAGAGTCCAGCAGCAGGTTGTGTGGGTGGAGGCGGGAGCACTGGCCCCGTGGTGAGGTGCCTTCTCTGGATCTGACACCACTCACCCCATCCCCGCTGTCACCACCTGTAAGGAGAGGAGAGAACATGAGCTCAGGAGAGGTGATAGTGCCAGCTTGCCCAGAGCAGCATGGCATGGAGAACTACCCCCCCAAAACACATCCATGACCTTACTTCTGGCGGGCGGTGCTGTAGGGATCAAGGAGGTGGGAGCTGGCCTGCTCCAGGTTCCAGTCGAACATCTCCAGCACCCGCTGGCAGTCGCCACGGGACTTCAGCCCCAGGCAGAAGAGCTGCTCCACCTGCAAGGGGACAGGGCATGGCCAGAGGGGTGACAGGAGTGCCACCACTCTTGTGGGAGCTAGGGTGAGGGAACAGAGGTGTGCCATACCTTCAGGTACTGGATGGCCCGTTGGACACTCCAGCCGTGGTTCTGCAGGGCTGCCTGGCACTCGTCGGTGGTCACACCGTGCACCATGTCCTGCACCTGGGGGGAGCTTGTGGTCAGTGTCTGCTGCCACCCCCAAGCAGCACGGAGCCCGTGACTGAAGCAGTGGGCCACTGAGGTTGCCCCCAGTCCTGGCTCTTTCCCCAGGGAGCACTGTTAGCCTGGAGCTGGCATTATTCTGAACATCATTTGTCTCTCCTGGGCTTGGGTGGGCCTCAATAGCCTCAGCCCAGATAACCCAACCTTCTCCCTCCCCAGGCCATTGAGTAGGGCCAAATTGGGTTAAAAGGGCCTTCAATTCCCATTTTAGCATTGCAGTGATATTTATGGCCCCCTGCACATTCGGAGCCCCCTTGTAGCCAATCCCCTGCAGCTGCACTTGGGGAAACTGAGGCACAGGGTGGGGAAAGCTCTTGCCGAAGTGAGCTCGTGGCCAGCATGTGCCCTCCTCCCCATGGATACTGGGCATGTCACTCACCAGCCGGATCTTTTCAGCGGGACGGCAAACATCTGGCCCATCGTAGACAATCTTCTGGAGGCTGCAAGAGGCTTTCACCAGGCACTTGGGCCCAGGATTGCTGTTATTGGAAGAAAAGTTGGCCTTGCAGTCTGGCAGTGGCTGCTGCACCATGGGACGGACGGTGGCTGTGGTGACCTGGCGGGATGCTGGTACCTCCTCTGGGCTTTTAGCCTCCTTGAAAAACTTCTCATACTTGTCCAGGTAGGCAGGGCGCTCAGGCAGCAGGTAGTAGTGGGTGCTGCTGACCTTCTGCCCATCCTTCACAATGGGCAGGATGCAGGGTCCCTTGGAGCAGTCCTTGCCCTGTGCCTGAATGACCTTGGGAGTGGCGTACTTGGGGTCGAGGGCAAAGCTCTGCGTGGTAGGCATAGGCTTCCCTGGTGAGGTGGAAAGGCAGGAGCAGAGGGCAGCACGTTGCTGTGGGGAGCCCACCTGCAGAGCCATGGGGCTGGGTGTCCGGGAGGTGGGCTGCGACAGTGGGTCCCGGGGGGGAATCTGGGGTGGCCGGTCTTCCTCACCCCCTGAGGCTGGGGAAAGGTCCCCTGACCAGCGCCCAGGCTCATTGCGGCGAAGGGGCCGGGGTGGGATTGGAACACGGGGTGGGATTTGGGGCTTGTCATCAGCAGGGGCAGCCGGTCCCAAGGGGACATTGAGCCTCTTCATGCACTCCTGCTGCAGCTCCTCAAAGAGCTCAGTGGTCTGTGTCATGCTGGGCTGTTTGGTCTCCTTGGGGGGCAGGAAGAGGTTGTCCTCCAGCACCGGTCCCCGCTCACCCTCATCCACGAAGCCATAGTTGGTCTTGCCCCGCCGGCTCGGGGGACTGGTGATGGAACACACCTCAAAGTCATCCTCGTCCTGCGCCACGTCATCATAGGCAGGGGGTGGGGGCAAGGGGCGGGCGTCCCAGTCCACCACCGGCGTGGGGTGCAGAGGCCGGGGTAGAGCCCGCGTGGGGCTCTGCGGTGGGGTCTTGTCCAGCAAAGAGAAGGCCTCCATGGCCAGCTTGGCTAATGATGGGGCTGTCAGCTCCCCCACTGGAGAGGGGGTACCTTGGGGCACTTCCTCCCCAAAGTCGATGAGTGTCACCTCGCTGCCCGCCGGCCCCTCGCTTGCCAGCCGTCCGGGTTGCCGCTCGCCCACCTTGGTGCCTGGTACCCGTGCTGATGGTTTGACTGGTCGCAGACCCTTCCCTGTGCCTGTCTTCTTCAGGCAGAGCTTCCGGAGACCCCCTGGCAGACCCTCTTCCTCCTCACTCACTGGGTCGTAGCAAGGCTCTAGGAGGCGACAGAGAGAGATGGTGAGGGTCCCAGCACCCATCCCTGGGGTGCAAGAAGGGGCATCTGCATCTCCAAACCCCCTAACTGCCCCATAGCTTCAGCCACCTTTGCTCACCCCTTGGGTACAGCAGACACACCAGGGCAGGGGGCATATGCCCCAGGCCACCCAGACAAAGAGAGAAAAGAAAGGGGGCATGAAGGAGGGAGAGCAGCACCCAAAGAAGCCAAACTTACTGGTTAGCAGGACGGTAGGCTGAGGCGGGCGTGGAGGTGGCTGCCCTGCAGGAGAAGAGAGAACCCAAGAGAAGGAGAGGCGTGGGGTGAGCGTGTGGAGCAAGCGGCAGCCAAGGTGCTTGTTAGCAGGGTGCATGCTTTGGTCAGCCCCCCATCACTGGTGGGGCGTAGAGAGGATGCTGGTGGGAAGCCACCCCACAAGGGAAGATTGTAGGTTTAGGGGAATTGTGGCATACGCACAGCGCCTGAGCTCCCTCCCCGTGGCAGCTCCGCTGAGATCCCCATACTGGGGAGACCAGCCGTGGGAGGCTGGGAGGGGACAAGGGACTCGGACGAAGGGCAGCAGGGCAGAGTCCAGCCGGGCAGAGCCACCAGCCGCCCACGCTGTTGGCAGTGGCATATGGCCAGGTGACAACACGCCCCATCACCCCAGCTCCCCCCGGGTCTGCAAAAAGCAAGTGCCAGCTGAGAGACAGAAAGGAGAGGGTCCAGCCCGTCACCCTGGCCAACAGGGCATGGGGAAAAGGGCTTCGTGCAGCTGATGGGCAGGAGGAAGGAAAAAAGAAGCTCACTTTTAGTCCTGCCTGGAAGCTGTGTGGGTCTGGCAGCACTCGGGTCCACACCTAAAATGTCAGGAGGGTCCATGGGATTTCCCAGGTACAGCCTGTGGGGAGAGAGGAAAGTGCCTGGGAGTCAGCAGGGGCCATGCAGGACCCCTTGCTCCCCAGGCTTGTGCCTTGGGACACCTCACAGCTCCTCCACCACACACTCTGCCCCAACGAGAAGCGTCCCTGTGAATGCTGGGACACCACACCCCAGAGGCTTTTGCTGCTACGGCACAGAGCCTGGTGCTGTCCCTGTGTCACCCACCCCTCTCCGGCTCCGTGTGCATGATGTGCTGTGTCCAGGGGACTGCAAGCAGGGCTCTGTGTCCAGGGTACGTGTGCGGGGTGCAGCGCCCAGGACACCCCTCCAGCAGCAGGGCGCTGTGGTGCGATGCTGCGCCCAAGGCACAGCGCCCCGGTACTGCCAGGGGGGGGTGCCGGGAGGCCCGGGCGAGCCATCGCAAGCCAGGGAGCCGGCGGGAGCCGGAGCAGCCCGAAGGTTTGGGTGTGTGCCGAGCTCGGTGCGTTCTCGGCAGCCCGGGCAGCACGTACCCAGCGCCCGTGCCCACGCAGCGGGGTGCGGGAAGGCCTGCCGGGGCACGAGCCAGATCCGCGTGCACGGTGCCTCCGTTCAGCCCTCCGAGGGCCGCCGGCACAGCCCAGGACACCAGGGTGCCATTGAGGGGTCAGGCTGGGACCGAGGGCACCTGCAGTGCTGTCCCAGGCCTGGGATGCCAAACAACAGTGGGGATCATGATTCCAGGAGATGGAGTGAGCCTGGTGCAGGAGCTGGCCCTACCCAGCGGGAGCTTTCCAGGCTTTGAAATCCTATCCTGCCCCCCACACGCAGCCCTCCCACGTCCCTCCAGCCCAGTGCTGGCAGAGAACCCCCCATGCCCCCTGCCAAGATGCTCCTGCTCACCCAGCACCCACGCTGGGCACAACAAGTCCTACCTGGCAGGGGGGCATGTGGGACACTGGATCACAAGCACCCAATCCCCCTCCCCCCCATCACAGTTCAGCCAGGGTGTCTCCTGATGGAGCAGGGTGGGGAAAAAAATCATTTTGGTGGATTTTTTTCACAGTTTGCTCTTTGAAAAGACTCATGCTGTTAGAAGCGTGAGGACGGGCTGCAAGCCACGCACATCCATCAGCCCTGGGACACCCAAAAACATTGGGGTAATGTGGCCACCTCCACGGTGGTGCTTACATGGGTCTCCCCCCAAGGACAGCCCCCCATAAGCACAGCAGCCCCCCACCTCCCAAACCCCATTAGTAAGAAGAGGCAAAGGAGTTAGTTCAGCTGCAGGGACCCTACCCAGAGCCACCATTCCCAATACAGCAGTGGGGAACAAAATGCTTCACAGGGAAAGAGGGGGGTAGTAGCCAAGCCGCGGCTTGCTCCCATGCCCAGTGGGCAGTGGGGAAGGCAGGGAGCAGGCAGAGGATGCAGAGAAGACAAAAAGTTTCTTACTCATCAATTTTATCGGGAAACCCCCAGCAGTGCTGCGGGTTGGTGTCTCCATGGCCTGTGTGGATGAAGCTGTTTTTAAGCGGCTGGCTGATGTCGTGGGCTGACAGCCCTGCCACCGAGGTCACCGTGTTTCGGGGAAATTGGCCCACTTTTAGGGTCCGTTTATTCTGACCCCGCCACCAGTAATTCTCGGCCCTAAGGAATAAAAAGGACCTTGTTACTGATGAGGGGATGGGAGGGTGACACGTGCCTGCCCCAGTGACAGGGAAGAGGCAAGGTGACTCGTCCAAGTCCACGCAGGCACGCGGTGACACAACTGGGAAGGGAACCTGGGTGCCCAGCATCCCAACCCTACACTGGCAGTATGCTCTAAATCCTACCCCACATGGTCCCTGCACCCCGTGGTGCTGAGAATGCAGGTGGTGGGGAACAAAGCTCCACACTTGTGCTCAAAAAGATGTGCTCCTTCCTCCTCCCTGCTGCCTCAAATTGTGCAGGAGCCTTGGAGTGATGCCCGCACCAAGCTGCTCATCACCGTGCCCCATGCAGCCAAGGACAGCACATGGGACACGCCTGGGGTCTGATGGGGCCCACGTGGGGGACAGTGGGCTGTGGGGTCTTCCTCGCTCCCTTCCTACATTATTAGTGAGCCCTGCTGTGGGCAGGGGGAGATGGGCAGACAGACAGGTGGGGGCTCAGGCTGTGAATCTTCCTGGAGCCACCTGAGTGGGCCAGATCACCCTGGGGTGTTGGTCCCCAGTGTGTCCCCCAGGAGTCTCCTACTCCAGGACACAGCCACCTCTGGGTGGGACGAAGTGCTCATGTAGCCCAGAGAGACTGGGGAGCACATGGATGGGGCAAGGAAAGGCACCCCAACTGGTGTCCCCCACCCAGCACTGTGCCAAATTAATGTGGGAGGGGTCCAACCCTAAACCACCCCTCTGCCTGCTAGGGGCCCCTCTCCCCGTGGGCAGGGCATGCTGCAGGATGGGGGCAGTGGCAGTGTGGGTGCCAGCCTGGAGAGGCTGGCACGGGCCCCACAGTTTCCTGGAGTCACCTGTGAGTCACCCCCGGCCACCAGCTCAGCCCTTTTCCTGTTTACCTTCCCGCTGCCGCCAGCCAGCCGCCTTACTCAGCGTTAGGACCCCTCGGCAGAGCCACGGCAGAGCCAGGCCGGTACCGGACAACCCACTCCCTACACCCCGGCGGAGCGCGTGGGGAGGCGGGGGAACGGCTCCCCTTCCCCCGAGGCAGGTCCGTCCGGTCTGCCCTCCCTGCGCCCCTCACCGCTGCATCCCGCCGAAGGGATGCTGCAGCCGGGTCAACCCTCCGCTCCCCCTGCTTTCAGCTTCGTCCCACCGAACCCGAGCTCGGACCCCAGGCACAAACCCACTCCGGCGCTGCCCTGGCTCCTCTCCCCGCGACAGCCCCCTCCGCGCCTCGCTGGGTCCCCGGGTGGGCTTTCAGGGAGGTCCCTGCCCCCTGCGCTCCACCAGTAACGCACAAACCCGCACCTGTGATCCCCGCCGAGAACGATCAGGCAGGGGCTTGAAAAGAGGTGGGGGTGTTAGCGGTGCCCCGGGCGGCCTCAGGCGGGGCCGCATGCGGCCCGGGGAGCCCCCCCACCCCAGCCTGCCCGGCATCCCTGCCGGCATCACGGTGGGGGGCAGCCCCCCGCGGGGGAGAAACTAGCACGGGGAAGGGGCTCCCCTCCGGGGAGGGCACGGCAGCCGTGGGGCTCCTGCCACTCTCCGCCGGCTGCCCTCACCCCGCACCCCCAACCTGCACGCTAACGGGGGTAATCGAGGGGCTGGCCCTCCCCGGGAAACTGAAGCAGGGGACGCTGCGCCCCGACTCTGGCCGACTCAGCTGAGCACCGTCCCGACCGCACCGGGCAACCTCCCAGCCCCCTCCCGCGACTCCATCGCCCCTTCGCGGCTCACCTGGGCCGGCGCGCGTGGCGGGGGGCTCGGGACGCTCCCGCAGCCCGGCCGCGATGCGGCCAGCGGAGACGATGTAAGGACGCTCCTGGCGGGGCGGCCGCACCGCCCTCGCGCCGCTCCTTCGACCTTCCTCCTTTCCTCCATCCAGCCGACGCCGCTTCCCCTCCCCCCCCCCCCTGCAATTAAACCGCCAGACCCTGGGCAAGAGTCATCCCCGCGGCGGCGGACCGGGAGCAGCCGGTCCCTGCAGACACACAAACCCGGCCTGATTCACCCCGAGCCGTGACTAACCGCGGGGAGCCGTCCCGGGGCGGGGGACAGGGAGGGACGGGGACAGAGCCCTCCTCCTCCTCCCCTCGGGGCTGTGGGACCGGCGTCAGCGTGGGGACACTGCGCTCCTTTGGGGGATCCCCACTGTCCTCCAGCTGGAAGGGGACAGGCACATCCTGGAACGGGGATGCGGGGCCGGAAGGCCCCCCCACTCCAGTCCGCAGGTCCCAGCACAGTGGGTACTGCCAGCATGGTACCAAGCCCACGGTGCTTCTCCCAGCCCGATGACAGCGGCAAGTCTCCAGGTGCTGGCAGCATGTCTCCACCGCTAACAGCAGGGAGCGGCCCTGGGGCGTGCGGTTTCCCAGGGCAAAGCCATGGGCACAGTTTGGTGAGTCAGCGGGTACGGTGCAGGCAGGGCTGCGGGCACTGTGGGCAGGGCTGTGCCCCCACGGTGCTGTGCTGCCTGGGGGACCACAGACCCCCAGGCAGCTCTGCCTGCCCATGGGGTACACAGCCAGTTGTGCCAGCAGGAGATCCAGCCCTTCCCATCTCTGTTCCCCACAGCTCTGCCAGTGCCCACACTCTCCCCACTCCTGGGGTGCCCTGTGCCCACCAAGGCCAGCTGCCAGTGTGTTCTCTCCCCTGCAACCCTTCCGTGCAGTACCTGCCCTCGATGACCGTGATGATGTCATTCATCTGGATGTGCAGCTTGTCAGGCTCCTCAAAGTCCTGCAGTGCCCTCATGTCAGTGGGCTGGGCCTGGGGGTAGAGGTGGGTAAGGATAGGGGATGCAGCCCCCCATGTCCATCCCTGCCCTGCTTAGAGGCAGGACACGGGGTCTCAAAAATGAATCACCACTAGCCTGTCCTCAGCTGTCACATCCCTGGGGTGGGTCAGGGCAAGGTAGCACCCAGGTTTCTCCTGCTGTGACCATGTCACCACCTGCCACTTCTGCCTGGCCTGAGCTCCCCCGTGTCAACTCCCGCCTCAGCGACATCCTTAACTCTACTCATGCTCGAGCAGAGCCAGTGGACAGGGTGCCAGGGCTCCTGTCTCCCTCCCTGCTCACCCACCTCCACCAAGAAGTCCCGCAGGGCCACAAAGGTGGGTCGGTCCTCGGGCTTATGTGCCCAGCACTGCAGCATGACGTTGTAGATGTCCTGGGGACAGTCCTCAGGACGTGGCAGCCGCTCACCCTCCTTGTCTATCTTGTGCAGGATCTGGGGGGCAAGGGGTGCTGTCAGGGACTCCCAGGTCCCCTCAGCACCAGCAGGGTGAGGCAAGGGGGCAGGTCCCTGCTGAACACCTACCTGGCTGCCGTTGAGGCCTACCCAAGGCTCCTGACCATAAGTGAACATCTCCCAGAGGGTCACTCCGAACATCCAGGTGTCGCTGGCATGGGAGAAGGTGCGTGTCTTCAGGCTTTCAGGAGCACACCTACATGGGGAAGGACGTGAACATCAGGTTGTCTGTGCTGCACCCCCCAGTCTCCCCCTCCTCAAGGCTCACCAGGCGAAGGGGACCTTGCGGTGCTCCTGCATCACATAGTGGTCATCGTTTTTTGGCAGGGCCCGCATCAGCCCAAAGTCCCCGATCTTGACGAGGTCATTGGAAGCCAGCAGGATGTTGCGGGCGGCCAGGTCACGGTGGATGAAGCGCTTGGACTCCAGGTAGGCCATGCCCTTGGCCACCTGGATGGCATACTGGCAGAGAGTGGAGATGAGGAAATGGCCCTGGTTCTTCCGCAGTCGGTCCAGGAGGGAGCCCAGCGGGGCCAGCTCTGTCACCTGGGCCATAAGGAGAGGACAGCAAACCAATCAGTCCAGGGGCACCCTGGCTGGGCTGGCTTCCAGCCTCCTTGTACTCCACTGGGGATGCCAGCAGAGGACTTGGGGTACAGACACAGCCTGGCTTTGCTCATGCCATCATGTGGGACCCACATGGGGTGGCATCAGTGTTGGCCCTGTTCCCCCACACTCACCATCTTCATGGGGTGGGAGAGCACCACACCATACAGGCGGATGAGGTTCCTGTGGTCCAGGGAGTGCATGGCATTCACCTCCCGGATGAAGTCATCCAGTGCCTCTGGCTGGCTCAGCACATCTGTCTTGAGGCACTTCACTGCCACGTTCAGCTACGGCCAAAGCAGGAGTGAGCCCTGAAGTGTCTTCCCCTGTAGGCAGTCCCACTGCCCAGCTCTCCACCCCCCTCATGAGCAGTCTCTCACCGTCTTGCCGGCAGGCGTGCACCACTCTCCACGACGCACGACGCCGAAGGAGCCGTCACCCAGCTTCTCAAAGATCGAGAGGTCCCGCTCCCGCACAAGGCAGGTGAGGGAGTGTTGGCCCCCAGCCTCGGGGGGTGGTGGTGTGGGGGGCTTGCGGAAAGTACTCTGGGGCTGGGGTGGCAGCTCCGACTCTGGGCGCTTCCCACTGAACACCTGTGGGACATGGAGGTAGGTGAGACGTGGATGTGAAGATACCCGAAACCTTTGGGTCTGCAAGTGAGTAGTGCTGGGACAACCCCTTGTCTGGGTTGTACACTCTAGAACCCACTGATGACCCCTAACTGGTGATGAGCCAGGGCAGTCTGGTTGTGAGATCAAACTCTCTTCCTCCAGCAGCCTGCACACCAGGCTGCGATTCCTGTGGAGGGAAGGGGTTGTGCCTCTCACAGCAGCCCTGCAGCGACTCCCCAGCAGCCACAGTAAACCAGGCCAGTAGCCAGAGAGGGCCCTGGGCACTCCTTGGCCAGGCTATGGCCACACAATGTGCCTGGGCACAAAGCCAAGGGAAACCTCCAGCTTGGGCCGAGTGTGTGGTGACACATCCCTGCAAAGACATGGGCTTTGCATTTGTGCTGCCTGCCACCACCACCACCCAGAGCGGATGGGCTCTCCTTCCCTCTCCTTCAGCTGGGACTGATGATGTGCCCCACTGGCCGGGGTCCATCCCAGTCTCGGCAGCCAGGACCCCTGCAGGGTGCGTGGGGGCTGGGCCCAACATGCGGTCGGGGTGGGAGGTGGCATTCCTGCCATTTCTTCTTTAATAGAAGTAGCCTTCTATTAAAAGCCCATCCTGACCATGTCCCAGCACAGATGAGTCACAAAGGGGTGAGGCCATGACCCAGTGCCCAGCTCGTAACTGTTCTGCTCTTCTGGGGATGCCAGCAGCACCAGCTTTGGATGGGATGGCATATGGAATATGTGACCATTCCAAGGTCCCCTGTCCTGGTATGCCCCAGCCTGCAGGTACAAGGCTGTGCCTCCTTGCTGTGAGGCAGCAGGGCAGGCAGAGTCCTGGGCAGTGCTGCTGCCCACAGAGCTGGCTGAAGCAAGATGCACAGGCTCTGTGGTTCCCTAGCTGCAAACAATTTTCCTGGCAAAGAGGCAAATAATGAAGGGAATGAATTTTCCAAGTGCTGGGGCGGCAGGGCTGTCCTTTCCTGGGAAGTGACCCAGGAGCCTGCATGGGACCAGGGCACACACTGGCAGTATCACACCACAGGCAGGACTCCCCCAGGGACCAGTGGCATAGGCAGAGCCAGGCACCTGGGAAGAGTACGGGGAGAGGTCTAGCTTCTCCCATTTGCCTCAGTTTCTGTCACACCTGTCCCTCTCTCATCCCTACCTTGCTCATCCAGGATTTCCGCTTGCACATGGCTTTCCTCCGCTTCACTGCCTCCCACAACCGCCGCTGGCCTACAGGATTCAGGGACACAGTGACTGTCACAACCCAGCCCAGGGTAGAGGTCCTCTCTAGCCCCATGGACCACATGCTCCTCTGGGCTTCCCAAAAGATGCTGCGCATCCAGCTGGGGATAAGGGGGAGGTCTGGGGGGGGTGTACACACCAGGGCGTCCCATGCCGATCTTCTCCAGATCCTCATTTTTGACGTACTCGAAGTGGGAGAGGCGTGTGACATTGAGCTCGTCCCGGATGCGCAGGAAGTACTGCTGCAGCTGAAGCTCAGTGAGCAGCTCCAGCAGCCAGTCCGTGCCCTCCTCCGCCTGCATGCTACAGCTCAGCCTCTGCCGAGACACAATGCCGGGTTAGGGGGAACCATGCTCCACTCCTCTCTGCCCCATCCCCGCTGGGGAGTCACCCAGAGGGGCTCAGAACCACGGCTGGGGTGCTGCTGTGAGGGACACTAGCAGACTGATTTCCTGAGCCTGTCCCCAGCTCTCTGGGGGAGGCCGGGAGAGGCACCGCATCAGCAGGACACCCAGGGACAGGCAGGACAGACTGGCTCTGCCCTGTCATGCCCACAGAAACACCAGCCCACCCCTCTGCTCCAGCACAGGCTATCCCCTGGAGGGGTCAGAGCTTCAGGATGCATGTGCCTGCCTGGATCCCTCTGCTCAGCTGGAGGGGACAGCTGTCCCAGCCACCCGGCCAGGCTGCAGGACAGACCCATGGTAGGTTTCCTCTGCCTTGGCTGGGCAGACAAAAGGAGGGGGCAGACAGGGACATCAGGGTCACTAGGGGGTCCTGTTGCCCCAGGACTGAGGTACAGGGCACCCCAGCGCTGCCAGCATCACCCCCCCGAGCTGTGTCGGGACACAGGGAGGGAGGGACAGGGCCAGGTCTCACACACAGTTCTCCACACCCCCCACCACTCCCCATCCGTGCCTGCTGTCCCAGCTCTCCCCCACTTTCATCGCCACCTTTTTGGAAAGGGACACAGCTCTGTCTCCCACTGTTTAGAGCGGGAGGGAAGTTGGGACCGCCGTCCTGGCTCCACAACACATCAGCCCCCTCCATCCTCTCCTCTTCCCCGGGAGATGACATGGCTCCTGGCGTCTTCACCCGCTGTGCTCGGCTCCCTCGGCCGCGTCACCGCAATTACAACCCTCGGCACTGGGCTAAAAATACGGCGGGCGCGGCGAGCAGCTGGGCACGGGGGCACATGGGGGCAGGCGGGGACACACAGGGCCAAGGGAGCTGCCAGCTCCCCTGCCCGCAGGCGATGGGGAGAGGGCCGGGCGACGGGTTTGCCCGGGGCGAGGGTCGGCACTTACTCGGTAGAGGCGGAAGCGGGTGAGGAAAGGGAAAGATCGGTGCAAAGCCTGGAAGCGCCGCATCCTGCCTGGCTGCCCGCCGCCGCCCCGGCACGCGCTGATGTCCCTTCCCCGGTGCCGGCGTCCACGGCCGGAGCCGCTCACATGCAGCCGGGGCAGCCGCAGCCCTCAACGCTGGGCTACAGAAGAAGCCCCCCGGGCTCGGCCGCCCCCATATACTCCCCGAGCGCCAGGGGGCTTCGGCTGTCCGTCGCCGGACGCGGGGCTTGTGGCTTCTGCCCTCCTTCGCATCCGATCTCGATCCTCTGGACGCCGGCCCTCCCCTTACCCAACGCAACGGGGCCCGGGGCGGGGGGTGGCGGCAGGCAAGGGCTGGGGGTCAAACTCCCCCGGCCCGGAGCCAGCTTCCTGGGGACCCCCGCCGCTGGCACGGGCTCGGTCCCGCGGCTGGCTGCCCGCAGCGCTCCGCCAGGAGGGTTATTTTCAGCCGGGCTGGGACGCGCGCCCAAGGGGCGCGGGCTCCCATCAATGTGCGGCTTTCTCGCCTTGTTCGGCGGTCGCCGGCAGCTGGAGCTTGGACCCCCGCTCCCATTACCATGGAAACTCGCCCCGGCCTTGGGAAACGCTCCCAGGCCTCAGTTTCCCCCCCAGGAAGCAGGGAGGGAGGGAGGCAGAGGAGACATCCGGCTCTCTGCTCCCCAACCGAGGCCACAGGCATGATGCCAGGGCGATGGGCACTGCGGGGGGAGTTTCTGGCTCAGCAAACATATCCGCTGCCCAGCTGCCAGGCCCCACGGGGCTCTGCCGTGGGGTGCCACCAGCACCCTGCACCTCGCTCCCCTTCCCCAGTAGGGCTGGTACCCAACCCCAGCAGTGCTGTCCGCCCGCGGGCTCCCCAGGGAGAACAGCTGGCCGTGCCGGCAGCCACAGCATGAGAAAGGAAAGACCCACAGAAACCTCTTACCACAGCCCCCGCCTGCCTGGCCCCCCCAAAATGTGGCCATTGCTATGCCAGGCAGGCAGCTAAGAAGGAGTTAAGTGCATCTCCAGGAGAAGAGGAGTCTCCACTGTGGCTTCCACTGACACTGGGATCCCAGCTGGCACCCGGCAGCACAGGCACTGGGCACAACAAGCCCATTGACCAGGGACAACTGGGCACAGTGCCCTCAGCACCAACCTCTGCCACGCGCCAGCTTCCCCCTTCCCAGCTCAGGGGACATGGGGGCGGGGGGTGCCCTGCCTTGAACGGAGCATCACTCTCATCAGGCAGGAATGACACCCACTGGGACTGGCACCCAGTGTGCTGCCTCCTGCACCTCTAAATCCCAGGTAAGACTGTCCAGTTCAGCATCCACACTGGGAATGGGGGAACCCAGCCTTACCCACCATGCCAGGGGTGGTTCCGTGCCTCAGTTTCCCTCTCTGCAACAGACCCACAGGCACAGTGTTTGGGTTGGTCCTGCAACCTCGGCTCTGAGTGGGGCAAGGAGTCCTGCCAGCAAACTCCCATCCTGAAGTGTGGGAGCCACAGATACTCATCCCGTCCCCACCAGGTCCCCGGCACAGGTGCTGCTCGGCCCTTGGTGCCCTGCACACACTCGCCATGCCGCACACACCCAGCCCTGCAGCGCCAGGGGATGCACCCTACGTGCACCCAGTCTCATGCATGGGCGGTGAGGACGCTCACATGCACTCAGGGACCACACAGGCGCAACCCCCCGCACCCTGCG